CACTGAAGAAAAGGCATTCATACCTGGCTCTGTGATATCTAATCTCAGGTCAAAACTGTACACGGCGGACCTGGAGTCGGGGCTGCACTACCTCCTGAGGGTGGAGCTGGCCACCCACAGGACACTGGCCGGGGCCGAGCTGAAAACACTCAAGGACTTTGTTACTATCGTTGCCAAGGTGTGTGGGGTCTGCTCTGGGCTGGGGGCTCGGTTCATGACCCTGCGGAACGAGGCCGACCTGAGCTGGACGTGCGGTGCCCCGCCCGCTTTTGGCACTGGCTCATGCAGACGCCAGGCCTGAAGGGGCACTGAGCAGGGGGCCTGGGTTGGGGGGGGAGGGGCATGGGCAGGAGGGCAATCTCCAGGGGCACTTACCCAGGTGGGTGGTGAGTGTGGTGGGGGCTGTGGGACTGACTCGGTGTGTGGCTGATGCCAGCAGCCCCATGACATGGGGGATGGGGACAACAGGAGCAGGCGGACAGCACCCTCACAGAGGGTACAGCGCGGCTGCTATCCTCGTCCTCTGGAGTCTGCTGCGGGGGCCGGGACCAGTGCTATGGGCGCCACCCTCCACCTTTAGTAGGAGGTAGCGCAGTGTTCATGAAAGTTTAGTTCCTGCCTTGGCCAACTGTTGTTTTCTGGCCCAGAAAATTCTGGGAGGAGGGAGGCGGGAGGCACCCCCCTCAGGTTCCTGGGGCAGGTCTGAGCCCTGGTTCTCTTGCCCCTGCAGCCCTGTCTGGGCCTGGCTGTGGCCCCTCTGCTCTCTGACTCCTGCGGTAGCCTAGCCGGGGTCCTAGGGCCCCAGTCACAGCACTGCAACGCGATTTACGTTTAAAGGAATAACTAGGAGGCGCCTAGTGCGTTTCCCACGAATAAAGGAAAGCTGCTTGGACAGGCTTTGATCCTGTTGTGGGTTCAGAATTCTGGAATCTCCAGAATGTCCTCCTGCTCATGGGCCGTCGGCTGCTCAGCCTCCGCTGTCGGCACCGGCTCAGCGAGCAGCGGGCCCAGCTCCAAGGCCAGGGTGGCCGTGCATATCTTAGCCATCTTCCTGCAGCTGACTCAGACTTGAGATTCATGCGCGTAATTGGTGGTGGTCCTGGGCGACCTCTCGGAAAAGAGTTTCCGGGGCTGACAGTGTGCTGTCGCTGCTGTTCTTCAGCATCGACGTCGTCTCATAAGTTAGGTCAGGTGTGAGGGGCCCTCTCGGCAGTGCCACTCTGCACGTCTCGCGGTGCTTGGGCGCAGGGGTCGCCGGGTGAGTGCCACACGCTGACCAGCTGGTCACACTTGCGCCTGGAAACCTGGGGGGCTGCCTGCCTTCCCAGGGGTCTGAGTGTGGTGCTTCCCCCTCAGCTGTTCCCCGGCCGCCCGCCCGTCAGGAAGCTGCTGGAGATGCTGCAGGAGTGGCTGGCCAGCCTCCCCCTGGACCGGGTGCCCTACAATGCCATCCTGGACCTGGTCAACAACAAGATGCGGGTGCGCACCTCCTGGCTCCTGCCCACGCACGGGCATCCCCGCGGCCCCTCCTCAGGCCCCTCTGCGGTGGTTTCTGTCCCTGTCCCCATGACGACTGCCCGTCTCCTCCTCTGTCCCTGGTGCTGTCCGCTCACTCACCAGCTATTTCTATATCTGTTATTCTTTCTTTGCTCAGATTTCTGGAATATTCCTCACTAATCAGATAAAGTGGGTTGGATGTCAAGGAAGCCGCCCGGAGTTGAGGGGTTACACGTGTTCTCTCTGGAAGTTGTTCCACATGCTGACTGTTCGGGCCGGGACCCACCCAGACGCGTTGGATGACACAGGTAACGTCCCTGCACAGCCAGGGTGCTGTCTGCCCCCGGACGCACACGGGATGCGCTGGCCGGGCCCGTCGGAAGCTCAGCAGCGGGGGTTGGCTGTAAGGCAGTGTGTCATCGGGGGCCCTGGGGGCCCCTGCTCAGCAGGCGGAGGGAGCGTCTTTCCAGGTCACAGACCCCACGCGCCCAATACAGAGCCGAGTTCTTCCCTCCCTGGGCCCAGCACGTGCAGATGCCCTGCAGCCGCCCAGTCCCAGCCCGGGGGAGGACCTGCTGTGGGAACCTCTGCTTGTGCTTTACAGGTGTGAGACTCAGTAGGAAAGGGCGTGTTTTATCTCTCGTTGCCTGACAAGTTACCCTAAAACCCAGCAGCTTGAAACAGTGTACTCTTGTCTCTCACAGTGTCTGTGGGTCAGGAATCTGATGTGGCCAAGCCAGGTCCTCTGCCAGGGCAGCGTGTCTGCCTGAGGGCCTGGGTGTCACCTGCTGGCTGTTCCTCCCCGCGTCCTCTCCACAGCAGCTCCCACAGCACTGGCTCCGCCAGAGTGAGTCCCTCGCTGTGCGTGTTCTGGTTCTTAGAAGTCAGCCATGGCCTCGCCTGCTCACGGGAGCTGGCGTCCCGGGCCATCTCAGGGGCCTCCTGCCATAAGAGGAAAAACTACCAAAGTTTGAGTGGGTTTACTAACTTCAGTCACCGGGAAGTAGCTAACGCAAAGTCGTCATGTTCTGCATGCTCCGAGGACACTACGAAATGTGCTGGATATTTTACCCTTTGGACTTGGTTGTGCGGACACTTCCTGGCCCAGCAGGCCGCTGTCTCTTAGTTGTCATTTCCCTTTTTTAAAATACGTTTTTTATTTCAGAGAGGAAGGGAGAGGGAGGGAGAGAGAGAGATAAAACATCAATGAGAGAGAACATCAATCGACTGCCTCCTGCACGCCCCCTACTGGGGAGCGAGCCTGCAACCAGGCATGTGCCCTGACCGGGAAGCACACTGTGACTCCAGGTTCATAGGTCGATGCTCAACCACTGAGCCACGCCAGCCGGGCTTGGTTGTCATTTTCTTAGTTGTTGAGGTCCACTGATGCTTATGTTACATCTTGACTCACACAGTCCAATGTTCTTTCCAGTAAAAGTGTAAAATTCTCTCATAGTTACCTTTTGCTGCCTAACAAACTAACCCAGATGTGGTGGCTCTTGGGTGGGACCGGTGGGTGCTTGTCCAGAGGCATGGCCGGTTGGTCTGGACTCAGAAGGTCAGAGCCCTGCACCCGGCCTGCTCTCACCACACCCAGGAAGGTGCTCTCAGGGCCTCGGCGGGCACAGGCATCGCTTCCCCACACCCTGTCGGTCAGATAGGGCTCACCTGCCGGGTGCAGAGGGCAGGGCCGCCCTCGGGCATTTTTACCATGAAGCTCTCCTCCAGGCAACGCTGAGTTCTAGGGTCTCATGGAACAGAGGTGGGCTTTGAGACTTGAGATTCTCTTAAGAATCACACAGGACAAGAGCAGCATGACTTTCAGGGGAAACTCGGAGCTCCCGGACAAAAGTGACATCAGACCACCTCAGCCGTGCGCACAGCTGGAGCCTCGCGTTTCCGGGTCCTGCCCTGGCAGCAGCACACGCTGAGGGCAGCCTGGTAGCCGCCAGGGCTGCGTCCCCAGGAGACTGCGAAGCGGTGTAGCACTGCCTTGTGTCAGAGGGCGGCACACGGCGGAGTACACAGATCCCGCGGGGTCTCGCCCGGCAGCAGTAGCCACGTACATTGCATCTCTACCAGGAGCACGTCTCGTACTGCAGAACTGGGTCAGACGGAGATGTCGGATTATGTCTTGGAAGGTTTTTCCTCTCCTTATTGGACGCTTAAGCCCATCGACTAAAAGCCTGCGTGTCCCCTAATCCCCTCAGGTAGAGCTTTGTGGTTCTTGTGCACTTTAAAGATTAGGGAGGTCGCAGTGAGCAGCGCTTGGCTGGGGAGAGAAAAGGAGGATTACGGTGAAGCGGAGCAGATGTCGGCCCAGGACTGCTGGCTGCCGGCGAGGGGCCACGGGCAGAGCCCAGCCGAGCACATGCACGTGGCGATCTCGCTGTGGGCACTGCCTCACTGCCCTGGACACGGCCTGGGAGCAGTCGGCTCAGCTCACAACTCTGAGTGGAACGGCCGCCACAGTTAGTGACTAAAGGACATGGAAATAGGTAGGCCGCTGGGGCTTCAGGGCTAGTGGGCGTGGCCGTGAGGCGGAGCCACGACGGCTTCAGCCAGAGACCACGAGGGCCTGCTGTTGGTTCTGACGGATTCAGTCTCAAAAGTGTGTCTTTTGTTTACCCAGTTATCTTGCTGCCTGTCTTAATGCTGACAAGGTCTCCTTTGTATGCTTCACCCCCATCCTCGCTGTCTGAAGAGGCCTGCTAGGCCCCGCCCAGGCTGCCCCGTGGTTTTCTCAGGGCCCCTGTTAGGGCCACGTTGTCTCTGCCCCCCTGCCTGTGGCTGCTCTCCCGAAACGTCAGGGTGTGTTTTCTCGGGCCCCGTGCGGGGCTGTAACTGGGGGTGGATGCTGGAGCGCTCCCACCAGAGGTGCAACCTCTCCTAGGAGGGCAGGTCCTGGTGCCTGCCGTTCCCCAGACAGCCCTGGCCACTGCCCATTCGTCCCAGGCTACCCTTGGGAAGGTCAGTGTGAAGCTGGTGGCACCCCAGAGGCACGAGCTAAGGCCACGTGCACACCTGGGCTTGTGCTGTGCAAGGACTTCGGAGCAGAACAAGCACTTAGTTAGAGGAGTGCACTGTGTCCCCGGCACCAGCCCTCGGGGCTGCTTGTGAGGTGGGAGGACGTGCACAGGGCCCCACCCGACCCGAGGCAGAGCCCTGCTCTGGGGGTGAGGTGGAACCCCCTGGAGGTCCTTCCCCTGGTGCTTGTTCTGGGGGCTGCACAGGCGCATGCTCGGCGGAGGCCGTGGGGCCAGCAGCCCTGTTGCCGTGGGTCAAGCATGTCAAACTCAAAGGCTAACACGGACCAAATAAACAAGGTTTAAGTTTATGTGACCACAAAAAAAACAACAGCTTCCATTTTCATAGAAACATACATTTATTTCGATAGAAACATGCTGAATACAAAGGGCTGAAATAAATGGGTCATCGTTAACATAAAAAAATAGAACATTTTAACAAAAATTAATATTTTTTCTTGAACATTAATTTACTAGACACTGAATAACTGCACAAATTAATAAGTGTTAATGCAAATAAACCTAGTTTTCTTGTTCTCCGAAAGTGAAATATTTCCTGTTGCACACACCAAACAAGTCAGTCCAAGACGAATGACGTGGCCATAGGCTGCTAAAATACTCGCTGCTGGTATTAGTGGAGAGAAATGGTGTGCCTGTGTGTAAGGCGTGTAAGGGAAATGAATGCAACACGATGATAGTCATCAGTCATTAGCGAACATTGTAGTTCATTATTAATAATTATGTATAACAGGATAGTGTAAAAATTAAGTTACGAAATTTTTATTAAAATGTTTCCTACATACCGTTACATTGCCTGGGCCACACCAATTTTGGTTGTGGGCCGTGAGTTTGACATGCTTGCCGTCGGTGTTTGGGAAGGTGCTGCTCCTTGCCGTCCAGTGTCAGGCCTTAGCCCGTTCCTGGCTCCCGACACCACCCCAGCCCTGGGTTCCAGTGGGAACCATCAGACACGTTCTGTGCCTCGTTTCTGCGGTGCCACAGTGCTTGCTCCCTGCAGGTTTCGAAGACGACCCCCAGGCGGTGCTGCAGACCATCCGGAGGTACCTGCTCACCTTCTTCGGCTGTAAAGAGTGTGGGGAGCATTTTGAGGAAATGGCTAAAGAGTCCATGGATTCTGTGAAAACCCCAGACCAAGCAATCCTCTGGCTTTGGAAGAAGCATAACCTCGTGAACAGCCGCCTGGCAGGTAAGCAGAAGCCATGTTGGCCTGCCCGTGCCCGTCAGCATGTGGGGGGAGAGGCGGCAGCACTGCCGCTCGGGATGCCCTGGCCTCGGTGCCGCTCTGCCTGCTCTGGGCTCACAGCGGGGGCCAGCCCTGCTCCGCCATCAGGGGCTGTTCTCAGGCTCCAGGGTGCCTGCTTTCCAGATTGTTCTCTCCCTGGAGCCGCGTGGAAGCTGACAGGCAGCATGCACCCCCTGAGGAGCCCACGAGGCCCAGTGAGATGCAGCGGGAGGCTGGGGTCATAATTAATTATCAGGAAGGAATTTTAGTGTCATTAAAATCTGCTCTCAGACGATAAATCAAACTCCTCAAAATGGCTTTGTTTAAAGCCTAAGTAGGGCGCATACATTTTCTCAGAGTTAAGTAATTCAAACTGCTCCTAAATCAGTGGCAGATTAAAATTAGGCTTAAAAATAATTCCACTCAGAAGTAAATCTTGATAAAGATGAATAGAAAACCCACTAAACTGTTGGTTTTTATTTAATCCACTGTATTACAAAAACATATTACAACTCAAGCACTAAAGAAAATTGGTTGCTCTTTGCAGCAGCGCTGCCTGCTGGCTCTGGTCACGTGGCGTGGCCCTGGCCCCTTCTGTTTGCCGGCTTTGCCCTCCTGTCGGTGCAGGTGAAGGCCCCTCCGTGGAGGCCCTGCTGCAGGTGTCAGGCCTCCCCGTGCCTCTGCCTGCCACCTGTGCTCCCAGTGAGTCCGAGGTTGCCCTGGCAGCACTGAGCTCCAAGAGCCCGTGCCCCCTCCCCCATCATTACCCTGCATGGGATGTCTCCTAGTCCCGTAGTCCCCAGCCCACCTTTAGCAAAGCAGTGGGACAGACAGGAGCAGGGCAGGTGAGTGGCAGTGTAGTCTGGCCATGGGGGCCGCCCGAGGATGCTTTAGGGAAGCGGGGGCAGCTGTGCAGGAAAGGTGGGGTGAGGGGCACAGGCGTCATCTAGTCCCCGCGGGGAGGTCTCAGTGGGTGTGGGTGGACCAAGAGGGTGGGGGAGGCAGGCACCTGACCGTGGGCGGGAGGCCTGTGGCGTGGCAGCCCTGGGTGGTGGGCGAGTTGAGGGAAGGCCTCCCCACAGTTGCCTCCCTCCCGCTCCCAGGCCACCCGAGCGAGGACCCCAGGTTTCCCAAGGTTGTGTGGCCCACTCCGGACCTCTGCCCCGCCTGCCACGAGGAGCTGAGGGGCCTGGACAGCTGGGACGAAGACCAGGTTCTCCTGTTCCTGAAGCGGCACTACGGCAGCGACAACCTCGTGCACACATACGCCGCGGCCCTGGGTGGCACGGGCGAGGCCGAGGAGCCAGAGGGAGGCCGAACCAACCCAGAGAGGCCTGGAGACCACGGGGCCGAGAGCCTGCACCAGCCCGGGGCACTGCCTCCCACACCTCGCCCCTCAGAGGGGTCGCACCTGGGACCAGCCAGGCCCGAGGGCCGCAGGGAGGTGGAGGCGGCTGCACCCTTCCTGGGGATGGGCTTCTCCAGCCTGGACATGAGCCTCTGCGTCCTGCTCTACGTGGCCTCCTCCGTGTTCCTGATGGTGATGTTCTTCTTCTTCCGGGTGCGGTCCCGGCGGTGGAAAGTCCGGCACCGCCATCCGTCTGTGTAGAGCTGAGCAGCCCGCCCGCGCCTGCGGCTTTAACGGTTCTGATCAGGGATGACAGGCAGGGGGCCTGCTCCCTGCTGATGGCAGCTGTGGTCCCAGAGCTGGGGCCTGTGTGCGTTCCCGGCCTTCACAGTCCGTGGACGCCTCTGACAAATCCATAGCAAAGCGACTTCTATGTTTTTACTCTTCTAGGTCTGAAAACGGGAGTGGGGTGACCAGGCCAAAAAGAATGTTTTGCACCCACTTTCATCAAGTTTACTGGGCTCTACATCCATTGTGCACGGCCTCCTTTGGGGATCTGGAGAAAAACCCAGCCCTTCCCCATGGAGGGTAAGGGGTGACTGAATGCAGCCAGGGATACCCCCGCCCCCCCACATCCCCGCCATGGGGAGTAGACTTGGTGTGGGGAGGGAGGGTGGTGCTTGTCTTACTCTTCAGGGACAGTGCCTTGGCCTGTTGGTTGTTACTCTGGTGATGAGAGAGCTCAGTGCGTGAGGGCCACCCAGGCTGCCTGTCCCTGGCAGTCGGGAGACTATGAGCCTGAGAGCAGAGCTTCCGCCTGGGCCCCTGCCATCCAGCACCCACAGCCCTCCTGAGCCACTGCCCAGAGCCGGAGTGGGTGGTGCATGGGGTCTCGCTGGCATCTCTAAGGCCAAACTTCATTTGCCTGAAGGTGTTTTACACAGGTCCTGGCACAGGGCCTATCCCCGGGCTTTGGTGGTTAATTATTTACCATTTAGTGATTTTAACACATTATTTATAAAACCCAGAACATTCAGAGGTAAAGTAAATGCGTAAACAAATGAACTCCTGGGGACATTTCCTTTGAGACCCTTATGCAGATGCCCAGCGGTGTGCGCCCCCGTGTGTGTGTGTGTGTGTGTGTGTGTGTGTGTGTGTGTGTGTGTGTGCGTGCGCGCGCCCCCGTGTGTGTGCGTGCGTGCGTGCGTGTGTGTGCCTGTGTGTGTGCCCCCTTGTGTGCGTGATGGTGGTAAGTAGTTCTTCCCACTGTGCCTGTGGTGTCCGCATGCTCCCTCATTGCAGCGGCTAAGCACGTGTGGACTACTCGCACCAGGTCCTGCCCCAGCCCAGCTCAGGGGAGCCCGAGGATGGTGCCTGCAACGCTGCCACTAACCCGGTGCCCACCTGGGGGCAGGCGTGGCCGGGAACAGGGAGCCCTGCCCTGAGCTGAGCCTCTGCGCCACCCCTGCCAGAGGTTTCCAGTTGGTGACACGTTTAACCCCTAGAAGCCTCTGGTTTAAACCTGAGGCTCGTGTGCCTGGTTATTGAAGGCACCATATTGTTTCCTTTCAACTTGAAAACGGGCCAATTTACAGAGGCCACGGGAAATACTGGGCCTCTTTCATTAAACTGCCTTAGGTTCGTGTCAAATGTCGTTTTCTCCCCCAAAGTAAGTTTCTGTGAGCAGTGGGCACTGTCCTACATCAACCCATTTGACAGGCAATGTTGGCTTCTAAGGTTCATAGTAATATTGCGGTTTGAGGTCACGTCTGTGACATCAGAGGGGCAAGGTTCCAGCAGACCGCCAGTGCTATGCGGCCACGGGAAGGGTCTCACCTGCAAGTGTGAGCCGCCTTGCACACCTCACGTGGTGGCCTGCTCAGAACTGGATGCTACCTTCAGGTCTGTTTTCTAAAGTTGTAACTATTGAGACAATGAATATAGTGGTTCAGTAATTTAAATGTATTTATTTTTAATGGGAGAATTTGGTTAAAAAGAAACTAATTGACATGAAAATGTCTGAAATTTCTTACGTGCAAAGAAAGTGAACATTTTGTATTTAAAAACTGTAATGTGCACATTTTGAAATAAATCTGATGTTTGAAAAATTGTATTCTTCTGAAATGCGCAGCAACTGGGAGGGTGCTGGGAGGGTGCAGAGCCTGTAGAGTGTATGGACCACACACCTTAGCTCCAGAATTTCTAGGAACCAGAGGGTTTGGAAGACAGCCCCAGGGTCAGGTGGAAAGGGAAAGAGGGATAATTAAATTACAGATAGTTCCTGAGACGAGATGGCAGCCGTCCTTCCACAGAGCCGGGAGAAGTGGGGGTGACGGGCAGCCGACTGCATGTGCCGGGGAACCTCCCAGGCCCTGCCCACCACCACGTAGCTCTGGGTGTGGCCTTCCTAGGCCACCCTCTGCCACGGAGCCACATGCCTGGCCTCTGCCCTGACACCAGTTTGCTGCCTCGGGTTCTGAACTCTTTAGATTTTCCTGCCCCCTCCTCTGCTTGGTGGGAAGAGGTCTCCAGTCACCACATGTGTGGCTGGAGGGAGACTTGCTGGCTGCAGTGTCTGTAGCTTCATTTCCCCCCTGCTGGGCTGTGTGGTTGCCCCTCCCTGGCTTTCCCCAGGCCCCTCCCTCAGGACACAGGCAGCCCCTGGGGTGCAGCTGGGGCAGAGCAAGGGGCGACTAGTGGGTATGGCAGCCTGGGCCGTGATTCTGGTGTGGGTGCAGGCTCACCATCAGTGACCCCTGGTCAGGCCCTTGATTCCTGAGCAGTTTCTGTTGGGGACACCCCAGATGCCCCTCCTCCGGGCTGCAGTGGGGATGGGCCTGTGGCCTGTGGGGGCCTAAGCAGGGCCAACAGGCCAGAGGCGCCTTCCAGGAGGCTGATGCAGGAGCAGCCGGTGGGGCACCCACTTGCCACCAATGCCCAAGCCTGTAGGCGGGGCGGGGAGGGGCAAGGAGGCGGGCAGGGAACAGAGAGGGGCGGGGGAGGGAGGGGTGGCAAGCCGAGGGACAGGGCACACCCGGGGCAGGAGGTTGGCGACACGCGCCTCCTTCAGCACCGCGGACAGCGCTGGGCCCGGAGGCTCCCTGGTCGCGGAGGAAGAGGGCGGAGCGCCGCCACAGCCCCTCCAGCCGAGCTCTGAGCCCCGCCTGCCCCACTGGTGGCAGCGATGCTCCTGGAGACGGAGCTTGAGCGCGACCAAAATAGGCCCGGGGCCACCGGGGCTGCCGCCTGCACCTTCGGTGGGACCCGGGGTAAGAGAAGCCCGAGCTTAAGGCCTCGAGGGAGGAATGGAGGGCAAGGGGCGTGGAGGCTGGCGGAGGCCACCTGGGCGGCAGGCGGGCGGGGAGGGCAGAGAAAAAGAGAGTCCGAGAAACCAGACCTCAGTCGACCGTAGAGATGGGAGCACAGGGGAGGTGAGGTGAGGGTCAAGGGCCTGGAGCTCTGCCATCGTTCATGGGTGGTTTGGGGGGCTTGGTCCAGGCACCCCAGAGCAGAAAGGCCTTCCTGAAGGCACTGCTGGCCCAAGGGGTGGTGCAGGCCGGAGGTGCCAAGTTCCTCTAGAGACCCACCCCCAAGCTCCCACAGTGCCCAGCTGCCCCTCCCTAACCAGCCCAACAGCCCAGCACCGGACCCCTGATGGGTCTCCCCCCCCAAACCGCGCTCCCCAAGGGCCATTCCATCACCACGGACACTGGGAATAATGGAGGCATTGTCGGTGGGCCAGCCAGATGCCTAGCGAGTGGGGCTGCCGCCTCCTCCACGTGCTGCCCACCTGCCCTTCCCCAGTCACGGCCCCTCTCCGGCAGCCTCCGCAGCAGCCGATACTCCGCACTCAGCACCCCCTGGGATCCAGGGCTTGGCACCCCTGCCCTGAGCTCTGGGTGACACGTGCAGAGTGAGATGAAGGGCTGTGTGCTGGCTGCAGGGGCCTCTGACCAAAACCGAGACTTCACAGACCTGGCGACTACAGGCAGGAGATGGGGCAGGAGATGCGGGCCCTCTGTGGGGACCCAGTGCAGGGCCTGGAGGAGGCACCAACCTGCCAGTCCCCTAGCACTTCCGGGCCCGGCCACTCCCTGTCCCACCCTGCAAGGGGCTCACCCAGCTGAGTCCTGATTGTGGTGCCTGCAGGGGGCTGTGCCCCTGGGCAGGAGCGGCTGCCCTGGGTAGACCGGGTCTACGTGCAGGACGAGTGGGTCCCTGCAGGCTCACCTGTTGGACTGGGGCACGATGTTGGAAAATCGGGTGCATGGGCCGGGTCCTGTGCAGGCCGGGCGCTGAGGTGGAGAGCAGTGAAGGTGGACACCTGCTCCCCAGCTCCGTCCCTCCTTGCCTGGAGTCTTGGCTGCCTGTCCAGGCCGACGTCGGTTTCTCTTCTAGAGAATCACCCTCCTTCCTGCACCCACTGGGAGCAGAAGCGCCAACGGTGGAGGCAGAGCCAGGAGGTCTGCGGTCGCACCAGCTCCCGGTAGTTCTCCGGCCCTTGGGCGACGCTCAACCTCTGAGTCTGGGTGGCGTTCGTACCGACCGGACGGCCTCGCCAGGCCTTCCAGGTCCGGCTCTGCGGCCGCAGGACCCAGCCCCTCCCTGGCCCTTCTCCCAGGCCCCCGGCCTGG